AAACGTGAATTGGCAGCATATTGGTAACTCTGACAAAGATGGTGTTGATTTATTAGAAGGTAAGGTCGAAGGCTGGTAAGGTAAGCTGATGCAATTTATCGAAAGATGATTCCGACAATTATTATATTCTTGTTCACAAGGACAAGTTTCTATAAAACGACATGTTTCCATAAATGTATTTTAAACTCAATGACATGTTCATATTCATGTTCATAGTTGCACAATAAACACTAAACCTAAGCATTGACATGTTTCTTAACATAAACACATAATGAATAGATGATAAAATAAGTTCCTATTCTCAAATAAGGTTCATGGTGTACACAATAAACCCATAATTTAAGTGCATATATTTGATACTTTCTTGTTCACAATATGCATAATGAACACATAAACTAATTTGAAGACATTGATATGCTATTGTTCACAATGTGCAAAAATAATCTTTCCCATTATTTGATTTTCTGGTTTTTCTTCTCATTCGACATCCATTGTCATTGATATTCACCACGGTCACTATTCTCGTTGTTGCAACCCCCTTCCCCTTTGGATAGACGCCACCTCCACCACCACCATCGTCATCACAAGTCACCACTATTGTCATCACCAATTAGTAATGTTAATTTTATCTTTATATATGTTATTTACAAATTTGAACAAGGAAGTAAGAAAATATCATAAACATGGGTATTTTAGTCATTTATCATCATTTCATTACAAATTATATACTACGTATAAAATAGATAGATTTACAATTCCTTTGATACATTCTATTTCATCTTTTGACAACCCACCACCTAGTCAAACTTGATTCATTAATTCTAATTCATTTGACAAATTCTATACATTTCAAGAACATTACGTAAAAACACATTCTAAAAGTATTTTCAACAGATTCTCTAAATTTTCTCCAAAATGAATAATCAAAATTCAAAATCTCTAAAAAAATGTATTCAAACTCCAACAATTTTTCCATTTTGAAGATTACACATAGGTTATATTAATATTATATTCCATATATTTAAAAAAATATATTATTTATGCCTCATAAACTTTAATCTCAAAGTGTTTTTATTAGTTGAAATATAATAACAAAATATTTTTCTCTCATGATAGTCATTTTTTAGAGTTCTTTAAATTAAGAGAATTTTATTATCTCATACTTTCTTGGTTTTGAAGAAAAGTTTTGAATAATATGATGGAATAACCCCTAAAATTTATATTTTTTTAATTCATTTTAAAGGATTTATTAAAAATGCTTTAAATATTTGATTTTTTTTCATGCTAAACTAGATTAACTATTTGGAGATTGTTACTCTAATTGGGAGTGACTTAAAAGATAATTTGTTTAATTTTAGTAATATTTCATATGATATATTTTCTCTTTAAAGACATGTATTTTTAAAAATATAATGGAATATATAATTTAACATAATTGTATATATATGGCAAATTCAAATGACAAGTTAAACATTTTAGAAGAATACGAAAAAGTTTCAATATCATGTATGATTAGACTTATGGTACACAAGTTTAATCATATATGATTAAATATATGTTTCATTGACGATAGATACATGATTAAACACACCCAAAGAAGTGTAGTAATATATAAAATATTGAAACTTTTCGACTTCTCGTAAAATGTTTAACTTATCTCAAGATCCTTGCGCGCACACACACACACTCTTTCTCTCTCTCTCTCGATATATATATATATATATATATAGAGAGAGAGAGAGAGAGAGAGAGTTTGGTTCAAATGTTAACCAAGATTATTGTGTTAACTTTGTTAACCAAGCTCAACCAATGAAAATCTATCTTTTATCTAGATTTATATTCATCTCATAATTTAATGACATGGGTAAATATATAATTTTAGTTTGTACATAACTCCCATATCATTAATTGGGAGTTACAAAATCAAAAAATCTCATAATTGTTATTGATTTACTATTGACCTTGTTTTTCTATAATATTGATTTATCTATCTATAATGCTCTTGAATTTGTGATTGTTAAAGGAGACCCGATAGTAAAGTTTTCGATATCGTTCAAGCTAATATGGATAAACCCATTGGAAAACAACTCGACAACAATGGGAAGGTTAGAATGGTTTACGATGAGAATCGGACTTCGAGTTCCGGAAGTGAAGACAATAATCAAAGCGTTTGTATTGGTAATGGACTAATATGTTATTGTATTCGTTTTAATCGAAATTATGTTGATTATGACSTTTTTGTGTTTTTTATAGTTCATATTGTGTTGGTAGCTTTTTCTTTAATTATTACTACGAGCTCAATTAATATGTTTAAATGGAATGAGTTCATCGTCAACTTAATTTGTTATGCAATCCAATTCTGATAACCATTAGACTCCATCAACTGCTTGTAATGCTTGACCTGCCATAGACTGCAACTAGTGTTCATATACGTTCAGGTGTGTTCATATATGTTCTAGTAGAGACATGAATTAAGACATCTAATATTGAATTTATAATTTTTGTTAATTTATTATTGATCTTGTTTTTTTATAATATTAATTTTTTTATCTATAGTTTTTGAATTTATGATTGGTAGAAGAGACCTGGTAGTATAGTTTTGGGTTTCGTTCAAGCTATTATAGATAAATTCATTGTTCATGATGAATGAACTATTGTTCACAAGTGTTCATATTGTGTTAATATGTACACTAGCTGCATATCTCAACATTGGTTCGCTCCTGAATGTGTTCATAATGAAGAAACTATTATTTACAAGTTGTTCATATTGTGTTCATATGTACACTAACTGCATATCTCAGCATTGGCTCGCTCTTGAATGTGTTCATAACGAATGAACTATTGTTCACAAGTGTTCATACCTGTTTTTTTATTTATTTCTTTCGTCTAGCAGCTATTCTTATTATGTTCATATTGTGCTTATAAAATTTTATGCAGTCCAAGTTCATATATATGTCAAAAAAAATTTGTATTTGACACAATGGTTTATATATATATAGATGTGTTCATATGGTTTTTACATTAACAAAAATAATGAGTTTTTTTGATTTTGTAACTCCCAATTAATGATATGAGAGTTACATAAAAAAGAAAATTACCTAAATACATTTTTCCTCTTTGTTCACATATGTTTTTTGAAATTGTAAATTTCAAAAAATAATTTTTTATCATGATTAATCACAACCATTTATTGTAAGAATCGATGGTCAAGATTGGTTAACAAAATTAACACAATAATTTTGGTTAATATTTGAAAGATGAGTATTTTTAATTTATGAAAAAATATATTAATTTACTATTCCTTTGTCTTGTGACAAATTTCACATCATACGTGAATACAAGTAGCTTCGATACCATACTTCTTTATTAAACAAAARGGATTCCTCTTTTTAATTTCATAAATGTTCTTGTCGCKGAAGTGGGGTTTTTCTATATTTGTAGCCAACCAATGTGCACAATAATCAACCATAGAATCTAATAATTGAACTGTAAAAGGTGCTTTTAATCAAATCAAGTATCAACGAATTCAAGGGCCTTCCACTTGTGAAAAATATCTTACAAAAAGCTATCATCCTTGCTCTTCATATCACTCATACTTATATACCATTTTCATTTTTAGAGGGTGTTCGAGATGGCTTATAAAAATAATTTATTGATTTATTTCGGTGTTGTATCGGTAATAAGTTTTTTTTTAGTGTTTGGATAAACAGCTTATACCGATGTCAAACCGATAATAAGAAGTTTTTAAAGAAGTTGATAAGTATTTTTATAGAAAAAGATAAGTTGTTTCAAATAAGCAATCTCAAACACCCCATTTACCTCTCCCTCACTCGTATACCTTTGTAAGATCGGGTATAAATAGAATACACCCTAATAAAATAATAGAGGAGCGATCAAATGAAAATCGCTCTCATTTGTGTAATCCGTGCAAACCACTCTCATCCGTCGATTTCATTGTTTAATCTTATAAAAAAAATTCATGAAATTGTTTCATATAATACTTTTTTTGATGAAGTTGTTTCATTTATGGTTATGAAATTATTTCATATAATACTTAATGAAATTTTAATAAAACTGTTTCATATATTTCTCTAAAATTAAAATAATGAAGATGATAATATCTATTATTAACACCCTCCACAATAAAAATGATTAATCAACCTCTCATAATTACAAAAAAATGAACAAAATAAAAAATTATAATTGATTGAATGAAGTTTGCACGGTTTGTACAAATTGAGTGGTTTGCATTTGATCGCTCCCCTAAAATAATAATGCATATTATATGTATATATATATATATATATATATATATATATATATAAAGTTGGATTCACGTGAGACCAAGGGTTTTTCGTGAGACCCGCAAGACCAATTTATGTTCATTGATCAACTTTATAAGTTAATGATCTAATGGTCTAAAGTTGCATGGTGGCGATTTTGTGATTATTGAGAAGTYTCGTGGCAATTTTGAGATTACGAATGTTCAGATTATAGATCTAATCTAAGGGTTGAGAATTGGTCTTACGGGTCTTACGAAAAACGTTTGGTCTCACTTGATCCCATGTCTATATATAAATATAAATATATATA